GTTGACAGGGGGATAAATCCCCACTAAAAAATTAGGTTCACAAAGTTTTTTGCTTAAAAATATTTTTCTTTGTATTTTTATTTGGACTTTGAAAATTGGAAAATAAAATTGAAAATTAAAAATACTTACAAAAATTTTAGGATAATTTGGTGTTAATGTTAGTGTAGAGTAAAAAACGTACTTTATTTTAGATATTAAATTTAAATTTTTAGCGTTAAATTTAGATTTTTAAAAGTTAAATTGCGTAAAATTTTGTCAATTTTTGAAATTTTGAGTCGGGGGTTAATCTGTGTGTATAGATTTAGATATATTTGACATCCTGAGAAAAATCCCTGTAAAACGAGCCCAAACTCGATTAATTTTGGACTATAAAACAAAAATTTTTAACGAAGCGGCCATTTTGGACGCCATATTGAAAAATTTTAAATTAGGATATCTTTATAACTAGTGGGCTCATTTCGACGGGGTTTTCGAAGGAGTGTTTGGCACGACCTGGGCAATAACCCTAACCCATAAAAAACCAAAAAATTTTGGAAAATAAAAAATTTTGTAATTATTAAAAATTTAAATAGCCCTGCTCGAGCAGTGACCGGTGACCCCAAGCACGGATATTTTTGGCCAAAGGACTCAGAAGATACAGCTTCAGAAAGAATATCCTCCGCCATCTTGGATTTTTACCGTTTTTTCGAATCTCTGTAGCTCCGGCCACGCTCAACTTAGGATACCCGTGCTTGGTATCATTGGAACGGGCTTGGAGAGGGCTACTTCTTCCAGGCATTAAAGCGACTCTAGGTAGAGTCATTATAAAGTTAGGGTAAAAAAGTGATAAAATTAGAATTAAAATTAGTTTTTGGATTAAAAGCGAGACTGGGAGCCTGGTGCTACCCAAAAATAGTAAAGTAGAGACAAGCTCTACAAAAAGTAGAGTCATTATAAATTGTAAAATTAAGTTATTAGCTGTTTTTAGCTGCGCCCGGTCGTGGTAAATTAGTATTAAAATTAGAATTAATTAGAAATAGTGACACTGAGTGGGTTATTGCCCCTTAGTAATTAGAATAGTTATACACACACTGAGTGGGTTATTGCCCCCAGTGTTAGGCTAAGATAAGTGTGACAGGGTTTATTGACCCAATTTAGGGACATTTTGGGCTCTTGTGACCAAAATAATCTAGGTGTAATTATAAGTTTTAGAGTAGTCTTAGATAGAAATAAGTCATATAGAAGATATATTGAATTAAAATATTTTGGAAATTTTTCGTAAATTAAGTAGTCAAGTACTTAGTTGTTTTAAAACTTATAATTTCTAAATTCTAAATTTATCATAAAAAGTAAATAGTAGTACTCACCCCTGACACCAAGATGCTCGGCCTTAGAACGCCCAATAAGAGAGTCGACCGCGCCGCAGCCAATACAACCCGGGTAATTTCACCGCGGAGTGACTCGTCGCCTGAAATTACCTCAAATGTAAGAAGGAGTATCGGCGACTGGGAATTAGGGAGAGCGGAAACTAAAGAGGGTTCCACTCGCGCACGCACCCCGGAAAAAACAAAAATGCCTATAAAGAAAATCATATTTACCAAAGACTCAAGACCGGAAAATAGAAAAAATTCAACAGACCTTACAGATCCGACAAGCCCTCCAAAATATGCCACCAAGTTGGCAGAGGCCAGGGCATGTGTAACCAAGGCCAAAGTAAACCTTGGCCTTTCAAGGAATACAAAAACGGAAATAAAAGAGGCAGTGACGCAAGCGGTCGACAGACTCTATCAAATAATTAAAGAATTAGAAAATAAGGAGAAGAAAGCAGCAGAGGAGAAAACGACAGAGGGTATGGAAAGAAATAGGGAACAACCGAAGGAACGTGCTGAACTAGCGGAAATAATCGAAAATCATACAAAATTAATTAAAGAAAATAGTACTAAAATGCAACAATTACAAACTACTTTGGAAAATTATCATGGCAAGCAAGAAGAACAACTACAGCAGCAACAATATACGTACGCTAGGGCAGTAATG